AAAATTCATGTTAATTGCCACCCAAGTCAAGTATGTAATGAAAAGGGCATGTAAAGGCATTCTTTGTTTGCCACTCCCTTATATTTTTGGCACACATGACAACATTCCACATGCCTACTTAGTTCCCTATTTAAGTTAGGCCAAAACTATAATGATCTCTCATAAAATGTCCCAAATTTTGCTGCTCTATCATGATCTTTCTGCACATCAAACATCCATAAAATCACAACCTCAAGCCTTGAAGAAAAAACCAACATGCAACAAATATTCAACTGCCATCCATATTTGACGTCCTTCAAATCTAGGCAAGTTATGCACTCTTCATAAAGAAATCGCAAAAAGAAATCAAATCCACAACATTCTTGTATGTATCCACAAGCAAAGAAAGACTACATGATTGTCTGTACTAGCTTTATGAAGTGAAAGAAAATTGTCGCATATAGCCTACCTATTTAGCATGCCTTAAACTCAAATTCCAATGGTTATTGAGGTACTTTAGTTGTGACAACTTGAACTTGAACAAAGGCCTAAAAAAATATTAAATGAGGGTCATAGATGAAAACATCAGGGGTAGGAATGTAAAAAAAATTGGAAATATGGGTAAAAATTGAATAAGAAACCTAGAATGCCATGAGATTAAACATTTCTGATTGTTCGAATGAATCACATCCAGGCTCCCCAGACCTACTACATGACACCATCCTCACCACAAGGTCTCCTCTACGACTTTGGCCTGTTGTCTGCCTCAAATTTTGGCTATTGTCAGTAATGGCAGCTTACCCTTGAACCCCAGCAATATTTGGCAGCTACTGCCTATAGCGGCTCTGAGCATTGTTTCGCGCTACTGTAAGTACTGCTTCTCCTTCAAAAGTGGGCTGCAAATTTGTGGTACTGCTGCCGAAGCCGGCAATAAGCCTACTTGTTTTGTTGTTCCAATACCACCAAAACCCACTCGTAAGCCTCCAAAATTAATCAAAATAAATGAAAGACTAGGATGGATTCATGTATTTTAGGCCATGATCCACTAATATAGTATGTCAATAATTGCTCATTACTCTACAATAAGTCACTTCTTGCTATTGATTGATAAAACTCCTTAGAATTTTGACGCTACGACTTCCTTGCCTTAAATTATGCAAAAGTTGTCACATCGTTTGCATCTAATTTAAAGAGGAAATTTTTTTTCCCATCTTTTTCACCTTTTCCAATTCAATGATCTTAAACGCTAACCTTTTCATCTTTTTCACCTTTTCCAGATAGCAGTGATGAGTGACAGTGGTAACACAATCAATAAAGTCCTTGACCTAGGACTACAATAAAATATAAGAATCTCAATTCTAATATTCAGTTCACAGCTTTGGTCAACAATTCACTCGTAGAAAAAAATCTTCTTTATAGTGTCAATAGTCATTAATCAGCAGGTTGATAACAGGATGAGACAGTAGTTAGATAGACATCCTGTTTTGTCTTAACAGAAACTCTACTTCATTTTGGGCTTTTTGCGGTAAGGGCTTGGTTAGAACCTGCATCTTATGAAGTCATCTTCTCAGATGTTGGCATATATCTAATAATGGACTTGACACAGTCTTAAGAAGAGATCACAACCATATTGCCATTCGTAGCAAAATGGAAAACAATGTCGTTTTCAACTGGTACAACCATACAGCTGTATTCCAACTGTGTACCAGCCTGTATTCTAGTCAACATTTCATTATTTATTCTAGTCTACTTTTCCTTCTTTATGTATTACGTACTTTATGTCATTTTGAATAGCATACATACCCAGTGTATTCATTCGTTTGATATGTCAAATAATTTTATTCTCTCTCTAATGTAAGACTCCAGTAGGTTTCTTGACGTGGTATCAAAGCATCAGGTTTCTTGACGTGGTATCAAAGCATCCGATTGGGACCTAACGTAAGTTTCTTCGTCTTCTCTTCTTCTCCTTATTCTCATTTTTTCTAGACAGAAGTTGACTTCCTGCAGTTGAGCTCTCTCTCTCTCTCCCATCTCCAAAGAAAAGTAATAATAAAAATACAGTACCTGCACCAATTCCTCTCGGTTATATGATCTAGATTCTAGACTCGTTTGACTCTCCTTGTGTCACTCGAATTTTGTGATCAAATCTACTCATCTCGGATCTCCTTGTCTTGAATATCATGGGTGACAAACCTGAAACCAAGGACTCTCTTTTTTGGATCTATGACAAGTACCAAATTGAAGGTTTCCAATTACCTTCAATGGTCCAGGGCAGTCCAAGTTTTTCTCAAAGCTCATGGGAAACTCTCCTAAATCGTCACTCAAACCTACAGATTGCAAGCATGTTCGCACATGGGAACAAGAAGATGCACAGATCATGAATTGGCCATGGAATAGTTTGGAGCCAGAGGTATTCAATAATGTATCATTTCTGGAATTGGCTAAGGATATTTGGGATGGAACATCACCCACATTTATCAATTGTATTAGGATATATTTTTTCTTCAGCAAGGTGATTGTTCGATTGAGGAATACTACTACTTTGAACTGAAAGATATGGGGGAAGAACTCAATATGTAACAGCCGTTGACTGCAGATTTGGAGACCCAGAAACAGCACAGGGAGGAATTTCAAGTGGGGAAATTTCTATCAGGACTTCGGCCAGAACTCGCACCTATCAGCTCAAGAACTCAATATGTATCAGCCTTTGACTGCAGATTTGGAGACCCAGAAACAGCACGGGGATGAATTTCAAGTGGCAAAATTTCTATCGGGTCTTCAGCCACAACTCACACCTATCAGCTCTCATATTCTCTCATGCACAGACTTGCCGACAGCCAGTGAGACCTTTGCTCGTGATCGACAAGCCTCCATCCACTCTTCTGCTACCGAAAAGGAAGATCGCTCCTCCCTTGCAGCTCCGGCTGGGCAATTTGATAATCCATGTGGAGGCCGAGGGGGATGTGGTCCTCCACACACAGGTCGTGGTGCTAGCGATACCAAAAAATGTACACATTGTGGCTGCACCAACCATTCTATTGGTAACTGTGGGGAACTCCATGGCAAGCCCACATGGGCAAATCAGGCTAAGGTTGAGGGGGAGAATTCTAATTCCACTGCCGAAGAACATGTTCTTATCTCTGAAATTGAGTATGATTCAATTGTCAAGCTCGCCAATCTTCCATCCACCTAAACAGTCACTTTGGTCAATTCCGGTAAGACTTGTCTTCATTCCTCATCCAGAATACCTTGGATTATTAATTCAGGAGCTTTCGACCATATGACAAGTAACTCTTCCCTTCTTTCTGATATTTCCTGTACTTCCTCTTCTTCGTTTGTCATAATAGCTAATGGTACCCAAGTCTCTAGTCCAGAGAATTGGTACTATTAGCACACCTAGTGTAACCTTCTCCTCTATTTTGTACCTAACTCAGTTTCCCTTTAATTTATTACCCGTTCGTAAACTACCTTTACCTTAAACTGCTTAGTAACATTTTATCCTAACCACTGTGTCTTTCAGGATCTAAAGACGAAGAGCACGATTGGTGGGGTTTTGAGAGGAATGGACTCTACTACTTTCAGCAGTCTCGCTCACCTGTTCCATCCGCACACCAAACCACGACCTCTCCATATCAGTGGCACTGCCATCTTGTTGTAAGGCAATCTTTGTAATTTAGTTCCCTCTTTACCTTTTTCTTTCTTTCTTTCTAGTTTTAGATGTGAAACTTGTGAGCTTAGTAAGCATCACATGGCTTCTTTTAAGCTTACAACTAACGGGCCTTTTTTGTACCCTCTTGAGCTAGTTCACTCCGATGTTACTGGTTTGTCTGGTGCACGTTACTTTGTTTCGTTTATTGATTCGTTTAACTTGGTTATATGTGTTTAAAGATAGATCTCAAGTGCTTCATGTTTTCAAATCTTTTTATGCTGAAATAACTAATCAATTTGATACCAAGTTACAAATTCTTAGGACTGACAATGCTCTTGAATATGAAGAAGGTACCTTTCTGCAATTTCTCGAGTCGAGGGGTATCACCCATCAAACTTCCTGTGTTGATACACCTCAACAAAATGGAATAGCTGAAAGAAAGAATGGATTCATACTTGCTATTGATTGTGCTCTGATGATCCAAATGAATGTACCAAAACATTTCTGGGGAGATGCAGTTCTTGATGCGGCATATCTTTTGAATTGAATGGCATCTCGGGTCCTTGAAGGAAAATCACCTGTCCAGATAATTGTTCCTGACAAAGACCCCTTTTCTCTTCCCCCAAAAGTGTTTGGTGTGTCATTTTTGTGCATAATTTAAGTTTGAGGCGAGACAAACTTGACCCTCCAGCCCACAACTGGATATTTCTAGGCCATTCCTGTAGTCGGAAAGGGTATAGATGCTATCATGCTACAACCCTCCTTTGACTAGTCACTTCATCAGCTAGTTATCAAAAATGCCTCTCTGCACGGAGATCTTACTGAGACAGTGTAGATGGCTCCATCACCTGGTTTTGAGTCCAAGTGGGAGTATGTTTGCCACCTCAAGAAGTCTATTTATGGACTCAAACCTCGTGATAAGTTCAGCAACGCAGTGGTTGCTCATGCCATAACTAGAAGCCACACTGATCATTCGGTTTTTTTTTTTTTAAGAAGACAGAGCGCGACATTGTGATTTTAGTTGTTTATGTGGATGACATTGTCATCACTGGAGGAACTTATCTTCCTGCTCCACTGCTGGCATCATGCAAAAGAACATAAAATCAATCATTTTGTTATTAGTTTCCCTGGACATATTAAGCTTCAAAGAACAATATTATCAAATCATATTTGTGCCTCCAAAATTTTATCCTCTACAAAGTAACCCTAATAAACCTGTTTAAAACATGCTTGCCTGTAACAACATACAACAGTCAAAATCTCAATTGAATCCCACCACCCCTTCCCCCCAAAAAAGGAAAATAAAAGGTTAAAAAAAATGCTAATTTGGGACACATTGCACCCTGAAATTAATCAAGTTGGAAAGATTTACCTATTGGTGGTCTTTTCTCCTTTGAGAATTTCTCTAGGGCATCCCAATCCCTGATTGTAGCCAAAGCAAAAACTTTAAGCCAATACCATCTCTTCTCTGAAACCTGAAACAATTTAACGACAACATAGTAACTACATTGCAAATTAAAGAAGTTGCAGAGTTAAACAAATAGACAATCATAGAAGATGATGAATTTTCTTCTCCACATTTTTTATGCAATATGCAGATTACAGAAAAAAATTATCAGCAGAGGGAGCCACAGTGGTAACTTTGCAAACCTTGAATTCTGTTTTAACTTTCACTGCAGCCCGATGATTCCCCAATACGATACATGTGCGGATCGTATCACTGATACTTGAATCCACAAAAATGGCCTGCTTAGTAGTCACTTCAAACTCATGTTGCATTCTGTAGCAATCACAAAGTTAGTAACGAGAAGAGCAAATCAACTGATACAAGGATAGAAGGAGAAGATTAAGAACCAAATTAATCAAAACACAGAAAAATTTAACATCATAGAAACAAATCTGAATGGTTCCACAATATTTCAAGTGCGACATTGTTGATCAGTCATGTTGACCACTCATTGTTGAATCGCTTACCATTTGGGTGTTGGCAAAAAAGAACATGCAGTAAAAATATCTTTTTTAATCGATCGCATAAAGTGTCTCAGTCCAACTCAAATATATTTAACCAAAGGACAAGATGTCAAATAAACACATGGATCACTTTTAAAGTTTGTATGTAGACTAACATAAATTACAGAAGTAGCAAAATAAGACATTTTTGAAAGTCTTCAAGTGATCCCGATTGTTTCCTCTCATCAAACTGAAGGAACTACCTCTGCTTTCCTTTGGTCTCCATGCCCTTATGCCATTCTTGAAAATAAATAAAAACCTTATTCACTGAGAAAAATAGAATTTGATTTTTAGACTGTACTACATCTCTAAAAACTCTAAATCCTGGAATATAGTCGCTTCTACGTGTGAGATAATTGATTGTACAAGACACTAGACAAGGGTCTTAAGGCCATAAACCAAATGCCACAATTATAGATGAATGAAAATTTTATCCATTAAGCACTTATGTGCTGAAACAATGTAAAAGGACAAAGCTTACTTTAATAATTTTGCATGTTCTTCAGCAGCCTTCGACTCAAAAGTATGTTCCTTTGTTTCTGAGAAAAGATTTTGGACCTTTTCAATAAGTTTGATGCGTGGGCCATGAAGTGGAGATCCTTTACTTGCCATTGGATTTTTTACTAGATCCCATGACTCTTTCCATAACAAAAAAGCAACATCCTACAACACCAAATAACCTTCAGTTAAGGAGAGAGAGGAGAGGAGGGGGGGGGGGGGGGGGGGGGGGGGCTTGCTGTGGGGGGGAGGGGAAGGAGGAAATAGAACAGAACTATTAGCAGACTTCATCAGATTTTAAACCTAAAACTAGATGATGTAGACCCTACAAGATTTACCAACATAAACTGAATGCGTAAGGTAACATGTGGTCAGAACATCAAAGAAATTGCCCCGACTTTGTTTGGTCAAAATTTACAACTTGCAGAAAGAAGTACAATTGGGCAACAGTTTTAAAACTAATTTAATTTTTAGAGTTTGGTGAGCCATATTTTATGTTTAATAGGGAAAATTTATTGAACAGTTGAAGCACAACGGAAACTATCAAATTATAATATATGTAGTTTTTAAAAGAGGAAACATTATCTACTGAAAGTGAAAAAATATTGACAGCCTTGTCCAATAGTCAAACACCCTACAGTGGGATAATCAAACAAATCCTAAACTTCAACAGCCATAATTGACCTAACACACTAATCCATATCCAGACAATACAGCATAGAGTAATGATAGGGAGAACGAAAGTAATCCCCCAAAAATAGACTGAACATGAGGTCACACTCTTTAACAAACAAAGAATAAACATCTCTCTCACGCATTAAGGCTGATGAAAAAAAAACGAAAATGCTTGACGATGGCAGTAAAACTGTTCTGGAGAAAATAGGCTCCCATTTTCAAATGCTAAAAGCTCAGTCAAGTTGGTATAATGCCCTTCCTGTTATTTGGAGATCTTGTATGTCCATCACTTTCAGTAAAATCTCTGGACTTCATAGGATTGCAATTCCACCTGAGAAACTATAAGGATCTTTAGAAAACATTATCGAACTGTAAAAAGGCCCGAATTTCTTCAATTCTACCATTCTTTCTCTCCAATTAAATTACAATCAATGGGAAATGTTGGGGAATCAGTTTTCACCCGGGCAATTCCACCACAAAATCTTCATTTTTGGGTTGGAGGCCATTTGAGGTTGGTTCTTCCTTCTAAATTTCATGGAATTCAACATTTTCATCGTCAATCAAATTAGGCGTACTTTCTTAGTTCTGCTGGTGCTACACTCCCCAACTCCAAATTCACACCTGCCAACCTTTCATTTCTGAACCGCACATGGGTGTAGTGTTTTTTTATCTTTCCTTGTTGTGTGTTTGGTTCTTGTAGCGCCATGATTTCCTGCTTTGACGATCGACAAGAGCCTAATCACCATTTCCATCTGTGCCAAACTCAAAGAAGGGACTGTAGTTGTTTGCCCTAATTCCAAGAAGGGGCTGTAGTTGTTTGCCCTAATAACTAATTCCAAACAACTTCTCGTGTATATAGATATATATGTCTTAAGGTGTCTTATCTTTGTATTTACCCACCATCTTCAGCTATCTTCACACCAGCATCAGCTTTCTATTTCCACGCTTCACCCATTTTTTTGTTCAGTTTTACGCGTGAGAGAGAATGTTTATTGCTTTTTGGGTAACTTGCACTCACACCCCCCAAGTTTACTATAAAAACAGGTAGATACAACTTAGGAAGAGTGTGATCCGATTGTGCCCCAAGTTTGCAAACTTGAACAACAACACCCCCAACCATGATAAGAGTACATAATTGCCCTTTGACTTCTGAATCGACCCATTTAAACATTAAAGTACAATATTAACCTTTATAAGTCCTTTAATTTGACTAAAATGACCCTTAGCAAAAAAAAAAAAAAAAAAAACCAAACTCCATCACTGTGGCCACCAACATCATATGACTGGGGGGGAGCCAGGAATTTTTAAGGGGGAATGCCCTAGCTGAAATGGATGGATTAGTTATATTATCTAATGCTTAAACAAAATTATAATACAAGACTGACTTTCCATCTCAAAAAGTAAGAAATATGAGTTTTAAATATATATTTATTATTATTCTATAGTAATATATTAAATATTAAAAGAACATTTTTAATATTCAAATATTAAATATCACCTTCAAGTAATCACACGCAAGCTAATCTTTTTATTTCTTAGTGTTTACAAACAACATTACTTACACAACATGTCACATTTTTCTTCCACAAAAACAAAGAAAAAAGAAAAAGAAAAAGAAAACATGTAACAATAAATCATCTGTGTTTGTTCACTCTTGAGGGCCATTTTGGTCAATTAATAGGAGGTTATAAAGGTAATTTAATAATTCACATGGGTCAATTCAGAAGTCAAAGGGCAAGTACGTACTTTTATCATGGTTGGGGGTTTCTTTGTTCATTTTACCAAACCTGGGGGATGTCTTTGTCTAAAAAGTACTTAAGTTGTAGATGGTTGTCTTTAACCCAAACCTGGGGGTCAGTGCAATTTACCCTTGCTTTTTAAAGATTTTGACGTGACTGGGCCATGTCATGTTCAGTCTATTTTTCGAGGATAACTTTCGTTCTCCCTATCCCTACTCTACAGGTATTACAACCAAAGTACACTATCTCACTATGTTTTGGAGCACTCTTTTGAATAGAAGAAAAAATAAAATGTACATATTATATATGAATCCACATCAAACAAGTCAAACCTACTTGAAGCTGCCCAGTCGATAGGAAGAAGTCCTTCAGAAATTCATGCTTATAGCACCTGAAGAGGGGGCAGAGAGAAGAAAAATAAGTAATGCAAAATCATATGCAATTCAAGGCTGTTGCACAAAGGAAGCATGTATTTGACCAGTCATTCTAAAACTAGGTTGCATGTAGTAGAGTGCACCTACCGTGCATAACTTATGAATAAATCACGTGCCAATAATCTGGCTTGTATTGTTCCAAAAAACTCCAAGGGTGGCCTCTTGCATAAAGAAAATTTGCAACGATCAGGCGAACAAATTATAATTCAAAGCATTATTTGTTCATATTTCATATATGCTTGCTTTATTAGAATATTTAATGATGTCAAAACTTTCTAAAAGAAGTAATACCTTCTGCCAGATATGAAAGAGGACAAGGTAAACAAGGTCAGTATCACCACTTTCGGTTGCCTTTGTCAGAGCTGTATCTTCTTCTCCTATGCTTAGCAAGAGAGGAACCTGAAGAAAAATAAATATTATTATATATAATAAACTATATGGACAATGACTGCAGCTTAATCTTTTCTTTTTTGCTTTTGATCAGCAGCTGAATTTTTCTGTCAAAAGGTAGCTAACTTCAGCAATGAACTACCGACTAGAGATGAGAACAAAAACAGATCTTTTTAACCGAAAATTCTAGGATAAAATCAAAATCAAAATAAAAAAAAAATAAGAAGAAAGAACTAAAAAACCTGCTTGGAGGATCGTGGTTCATGTTCAACAAGCATAGCAGCCAACTTCCGACGGCCATTATTATCTGCATGAGCGGCAACTGCGGCATAAGATATGCCTTTGCATAATTTCAGCTGAAGCTCCATAAAAACAGCATTTCAGACTTTGCATTTGCATGAAAAACAATGAGCAAACAACACATTTTGCTAATCTAAGCAACTGTGACACTAACTACACATACCTTATCAAGTAAGATTTCAAGGAGACTGGTATCAGGAATTGCCAAGGACGCGGTTATCTTTGAACATGCCCAGTGCATAATCACCACCTCCTACAGAGTCAAAAAAAGAAAAAAAAAAAAAAAAAAAAAATTCACATTTAAGTGATGTTATACTTGTTTCTGAGTAGAAAGCAACTTTTGAATCAAACTTAAAAAATAACAAGTGTTCATTTTCCAATAAAGTAGAAGTAGGCGGTACACCCCGGGTGTGTTTTAACTCTATGCTACCCTTAATTAGTCATAAAAGGTAATTTAGACACGAGTAGTAGGAAAACTGCAAAATGCTCCCATAATAATTACAAGGAGATTCTTTCAGGGGGGTAAAAAGGTGAACATTTTCAAAAAAAAAAAAAAAAAAAAAAAAAGGAACATTCATGCCATAGACAAATGATTGAGGCCTGGTCTTGGTGGCTGGGCTTTAGCAAACCTTGCAGTGGCTGGAGCCTCATGCACTGGGCTAGCCCTTTTACGCCATAAACAAATGATTGGATGCTTAACCACAACATGAAATCTCAATATTATCATTAATATTGTAACAAAGTTGGATGAGTTGAGATAACAACATTTTGATTTGAATTTAAAGTAGCCAATTTCTTCTTTCTGACTGGCCAAGGTGCCACTGGCCCCTTGAATGACAGTCAAGACGGTAGGCCGCAACAGTGCAATTGCTGCAGCAGAAGTGTGAGTCTACTGAGGTGGTTTATCTATCTTAAATGTCGCTATGTTAAGCACCTTCTGGTTTGCCAGACCTAGTTTATTAATGTACAACTACAACTGGATTTTGATCAATTTAGAGGCTTTGCCCAAAAGAAAAGCTCGAAACTACGAAACCATACAGGTAGGGTGAAATGGAATAGATCAACATAATCCAAGTCCAGATCCATTTATAACGATAGTATCCGTATTCAAATCCAAATTCTAGTCAAATATCATAGACAACATCCATATTCCCCCATGCAAATTTTGGAACATGTAAATAAGCCCAGATCCAATAAATTAGTCTAGAATCAAATAAGATTGGATCAGATCAACGTTCATATTATGCTCTAAAGAAAAGCAATATCTAAATAAGCCCAGATCCGATAAATTAGTCTAGAATCAAATAAGATTGGATCAGATCAATGTTCATATTATTCTCTAATGATAACTAGGCAGCGTGATTGCATCATAAACTCTCAAAAATTATACGTATTAAGCTTGAATTGTAAGTAAATGAATAAAGAAACAATTGGAAGTTAATGTTCATTTCTAATTCTATGCTTTCTTGTCTAACCACACATCCATCTCAACATTCGCATCTCTGCCACACCCACTTTATGCATATATTGTTTCCTAGCAACTCAATATTACGTCTGATAGAGTATGGCTGGTCTAATAGCTGTTTTATAGAACTTCCCTTTAATTTTAATGAGACAGGCCAATCACAAAATTTATTAAATGCACTCCTCCATTTAACCTTCCTGCCTCAATTCTATGATTAACATAATCTTCAATTTATGCTTCATTATGGATAATTTAGCCTAAATAACAAAAAGATGTTCAAGTTTTTGTAGCTCTTAATCCTCAATCTTCACTACACCAACATTTTTATTTCTAGATTTACTAAAGTTACACTCTATATATTCAATTTCATTCCTATTTATCCTAAAACCTACTAATTCTAGAGCTTCCTTCCAAACCTCTAATTTGGCATTGATTCCTTCTCTAGTCTCATCAATTAAAATAACATCTTCAGCAAATAACATGCAACATGGAATCTCAACTTGAATGTCTTGTCAACTCATTTATAACTAAGGCAAAAAGGTATGGGCTTAATGCTGACCCTTTATTAATCCTACAGTAATTGAAAATTTACTGTCTCGTACAACGTTCAAACTATAATCATACATGTGCTTTATTGTGTCAATATATCCCTTTGTGACTTCTTTCTTTTCTAAAATCCTCCATATTAGATTTTCTAGGAACCCGATCATCAGCTTTCCCACAATCAATAAAATCATCAGCTTTTCCTCAATAAGTAAATAGCCTCCATTGTGACCTTCCCAACATTAATCCAAACAGATTTTCCAACATGATTCCAAACTAATTTTCCCACACTTCAGTTACCCATCTTAGTCGTCGTTCAATCACTCTCCCAAAGTTTCATCATATGACTCATTAATTTAATAGTGAGATAACTGGAAATACATAATTCTTGTTATCAGCCCCAAAAGTTTAGGATAAAGCTATTGGTATTAAGTAGAACTATAAATTTCACACACTCAAATAAATATTACTATAATCTACAAAATGTCAAAAGGAAATAATTATCATAAGTAGGGGTGGCAATGATTGACACAACTCGAACACAACACATGATAAGTGGGTTTGGGTTTGGATTAATCGTGTTCGGGTCTTATCGTGTCAACTCGAATTGAGACAATAATTAAATATGTTGTGTTTGTGATTGACCCGCCAACCTATTTATAACTCAATTAGCCCATTTAACTAAATGTGTCTGAATCGGATAAACGTGTCGTGATGACCCATTTAACTACGCGTGTCGGATAAAGGTGTCATGTTCATGTTAGAAATAACTCTAATAATATAAAATTTTAATTAAATGTGTCTTGATGTGTCAATATCCAGTATTTAACCAATTATTAAACGGGTTTGAGTTTTGTGTCGTGTCGTGCTATGTTACATGGACGCAGGTACATGTGTCGAACACGGGTATGTATCCATGTGTCGGACATGTCAAATCTCCAAACAGAAGGACACACGGACCCGGCTAAATATTCATTTTATTAATTATTTTATTTTACTTTCTAGAGTAAAGTAATATTTTTATCTAATAAAATGTTTAATGTAGGCATTTAACTCATTTTAAAGTAATAATATAATATAATTAAATGATTGGATATGCTTTTTAAGTACATGTCCAACCAGAAGTGTTGGACATACATTCCATACCTATATCCGAGCAATATGTCCGACACGGGTACTTCGCTACTTTTGAAGAGTCCATGTAACATAGGTGCCGTGTTACCCATTTAATAATTGTGCCGTGTTTGTGTCAATGTTTCTTGACACAAATAATAATTGAGTCGTGTTCATGTCGACCCACATGTCCTGACACGACACGCCAACACGAATTGCCACCCCTCATAGAATTTAGCTCACCAATGTCCATAACTCACATGGTAGAAAGTGGAAATTATATATGAACAATCTAAGTTATTTTCGTTTATGACAAAGTAATAAATAAATCTAACATTTACTTTACCTCAACCAGTACCAGGTGACACGTAATATTTCCTTTGTTAAAATTATTAAGCAAACTACATTGCATACGCAGACCCAGCATAATATTGGTTAAATTTATAAGATAAATCAACAACTTCATATAACAACAATCTAAGAAAACAACTTAACTGTTTGGATCATATCTTACTGTTAGCATATATGATACCACGATTTATAGTATGACTTACCATAATAGCGGAGATTTGACTATGCTATAGAATATGCCATATAATATGCTTTAGAATAAGTTGTGATTTGATTTTTGATTTTATTTAGTTTCCTTTCTTGTAATATGAGTATGTGCTCATTTTATCTAAAATACTAGAGCTGTGAATGAGTAATTCATATTATTCAAGCCATTACGCAATTCTCTCATTTCTCTTCTTTTTATATATTTCTACTTGGTATCAAAGTCAACACCTTTCCACACCTTTCAGCAGCCCTGCTACTTGTGCGACAGCTACCTTAGGCTGTTTGTGACATCGTGTGACGTTGCCTACACATGTTTTTCTGTATTGCTGTTTTGTGATCGAAAACATATATTTTTAAGTTTTACAATTTCTTTTTCACTCTTCTAGGGTTGGATAAATTGGGATAGTTGGTTTCCAACACCTAGAAGGGCTTGGGTAAAAAAAAAAAAAATTAGTCTACAAAGAGGCTCCGGATATTAAGAAGGAGGTTGTCTGGCTGTATGTAAGCGGGCAGCGCTCCTTAAAAAAGGTATGTATTAGGATTTTTCGGGAATGGTCTGAAGAGACATTGTTATTGTTTATGGTCTGAGGAGACCCTTTGATTTATTAACAAACTTTATGGTGTTTTCGGATTTTTTTATTGTCGTTTGACAGAATATGGCAGATTCAGGGTCCTCGACTGTTAATTCTTTTGGCTCACGTTCTATAGGTGGTGGTGCCATTTTTCCCACCAACTCATCAAAAAATCCAGGACTTCAAATCACCACAGTGAAGTTAGATGGTTCCAACCATTTGATTTAGGCACAATCTGCCAAGATGTCCATTGGTAGCAAAGGCAAGATTGGCTATATTACTAGTTTTGAGAAAGAGCCAGCTAAGTCAGAGAAAGCATATCCACAGTGGTCTGCAGATAACGCTATGGTTATGTCTTGCCTAGTCAATTCGATGCAACCAAACATAGCTGTTGGCTATATATTTATGAAGACTGCTAAGCAAGTTTGGGATTTAGTTCAACGCACTTATTCTCAGAGGCAGAATAATGCACGAATTTTCCAGCTGGGGCGAGATATCACCATGATTTCTCAAGGTGACTTGACAGTTTCAAGTTACATCGCCAAGCTTCGTGCTATTTGGGACGAGATGTCATATTATGATTCCTTCCACTCTTAGAAGGATCTAGATGATGCAGTTTTATATGCAGGAATTGTGGAGAAGAATCGAGTGTTTCAGTTTCTTGCCAGGTTGAACGACGAGTTTGAGTATGCTCGTGTTCATTTATTGGGCTTATCTTCCTTCCCTACTCTTGAGGATGCATACTCCTATGTGTTGTCAGATGAGAGCCGTCGGACTCATCCATTAGGTGTTGCTTCTGTTGATCGTTTTGCTATGGCAGTTCGGGTTCCCAACCTCTTAGGAACTTCATCATCCCAATCAATTCAGAGCACTACCACCGGTCCTCCTCTGGGATGACAATGTGGACGGTGTGACCAATACGGAAAAATTGGTCACATCAAATCTCGTTGTTATGCTCTACATGGACGTCCACCGCAACAGAAACAACAACCTCGATCCTTTGCACATTCTGTTACACAACCAGTCTCGTTGTCAACTCCTGACAACCCTGCCTCTACATCTTCTGCCACAGTTACCTTGACTCAAGCTGATTTGGACAAATTCAAGCAATTCTTCAACCAAATGGAGGCATCATCTCAGCCAACCTCCATTTATGCCCACTCAGGTACTATTGCGTCTGCACATAGCGTATCTACATCTTTAACACCATGGATCATTGATTCTGGTACTTCAAACAATATGACTGGTATGTCCTCACTCTTCCAATCTTATAGTATCTGCTCTGGCCAACGCAAGGTCCGCCTTGCGGATGGCTCTCCATCTTCCATTGCTGGGAAGGGTCACATATCAGTTACTCCTTCATTAACTTTGTCAAATACACTTCATGTTCCAAAGTTGACTACAAATCTTCTTTCTATTAGTAGCGTTACCAAATAATTAAATTATAGTGTAACGTTCTTTCCCTCTCATTGTATTTTTTTGGATCTGGTGTCGAAACGGACAATTGGCAGTGGGTGTGAAGTGGACGGTTTATACCTATTGGATGCTCCTTTGTCACCTCAAGCACATTCAGCTTCATTTTCTAATATTGTTTCATCTAATAAAGCCCAGCTTATTCATTGGCACATGCGTTTAGGACATATTTCTTTTGGTTATTTGAAACATTTATTTCCTTCCTTATTTTGTAACGTGGCAGTGTCAGATTTATTCTGTGAAATATGTCATATGGCTAAACATGCTCGTTCCAATTATCCTGCTAGTAGTAATAGATCTGCTTTAACACCTTTTGATCTTGTTCATTCAGATGTGTGGGGTCCTTGCCCAGTTACTTCTAGTCTTGGATTTCGATATTTCGTGTTGTTCATTGATGATCATAGTCATGTTATTTAGGTTTATCTTATGAAAACCAAAAATGAGGTATACACCATTTTTAAAAATTTTATGACAATGGTTCAGACTCAATATGGTCGTACCATTAAAAAATTCCGATCTGACCAGGGTACAGAGCACACTTATGGGGAGGTACAACAGTTATGTACATAATTTGGGATTGAGCATCAGATGGCTAATGTTAGAACTCCTCAACAGAATGGTCGTTCAGAGAGAGAGAATCGCCACATCATTGACTTAGCCAGAGCAATCTACATTGGCATGAACGTTCCCCAGTCATTTTGGAGAGATGCAGTTCTTACTACTATTTACATCATTAATAGGACTCCTTCTAGGATTCTTAACTTTGCAGCCCCACTCTCAATCTTACATCCCAATTCATCTCTTTTTTTAATTCCTCCGCGAGTCTTCAGGTGTGTGTGCTTTGTTCAATAGTTGGGGCAAACTCGTACAAAGCTTGACCCCAAGGCTTTGAAGTGTGTGTTTTTGGGCTATTCTCACTCTCAAAAAGGTTATAGGTGTTACCATCCTCCCAGTCATCGGCGGTTTATATCCATGGATGTTTCTTTCTTTGAGCATAGACCATACTACAGTGGTTCAATTGGTTCTCAGAGTGAATGGTTCTCATTGAATATAATGGATGATCACCTTCTTCCATCTTCAACTCCTCTACCATTACCTATTTCTTCTTCTATGATTCCTCCTCATGATACCCCTCCAGCAGGGGGATTGTTCCTTTTTCACAGGTTTATAGTCAGAGACAACAGGTACAAGCTTCTACTCCCACGATCGACTGCCCTGTTCCTTCGGCACCAGCTCTGCCTTCTCAAGCTATTGTTTCGCTTGATGATCACCCCATTGCTCTTCGAAAGGGTAAACGTTCTTGTACTTACCCTATTTCTAATTTTGTTTCTGATTATGCTCTCTCACCCTCCTATCGGAGTTTTCTTGTTTCTGTTGCCTAGGTTCCTGTTTCTTCTAGCGTTGCAAATGCACTAGCACAACCTCAATAGCATGATGCAATGACAGAAGAACTACAAGCACTTGAGAAAAATCAGACTTGGGACATGGTTCCGCTTCCTATTGGACGAAAGGCTGTGGGTTGTCGTTGGGTGTTTACAGTTAAGCATAATCCAGATGGGTTAGTTGCTGGTTATTAGGCCCGATTGGTTGCCAAGGGTTGTGCTCAGACTTATGGCATAGATTATCAGGAGACTTTTGCCCCTGTTGCCAAGATGAATACCATCCGTGAATTATTTTCTGTTGCTGCAATTCGATCTTAGCCTTTATTTCAGTTAGATGTCAAGAATGCCTGCAGGAGGAGGTGTACATGGTTCCTCCTCCGGGCTTTCGTTCTCCTGCTCATTCTGGTATGGTATGTCGTCTTCGTCATTCTCTGTATGGCCTCAAGCAATCTCCTCGAGCTTGGTCTGATCGCTTTGGCACTGCTATGCTCAAGTTTGGTTTCTATCAAAGTGCAGCTGATCATACCTTGTTTTTACGTCATTCAGCCAATAAGACAATTACTCTCATTGTGTATGTCGATGATATTGTTCTTACCGACGATAATAGTACCGGAATTGATGAGGTTAAAAGCTATCTTGGCCGTCAGTTTGAGATTAAGGATCTTGGTCCCCTACGGTACTTCTTGGGCATTAAGGTGGCTCACTCCAAGACTGGCATTTTCATCTCTAAACGCAAGTATGTTCTTGACTTGCTTTCTGCTTCTGGTCAGCTTGGCGCTCGTCCTGCTGATACTCCGATTGAACAGAATCATCAGTTGACTGATTCTGAGGGGGAGTTGTTGTCAGATATTGGTCAGTATCACGACTTGTGGGGAATCTCATCTATTTATCCATGACTCGACCTGACATTGCTTATGCCGTGAGTGTCGTGAGTCAATTCATGCACTCTCCTCGTGCCCCTCACCTTGATGCAGCTATTCGGATCCTTTGCTACTTAAAAGGGTGTCCAGGCCATCGTATTTTGTTTGCCAATCATGGTCACTTACATGTTGAGGCTTGGACAGATGCTGATTATGCAGGATCAATTTCAGATAGGAGGTCTACTTCAGGTTATTGTACCACTATTGGTGGAAACTTGGTTACTTGGCGCAAGAAGAAGCAGGATGTTGTCTCTCGATTTAGTGCAGCGGTAGAGTATAGGGCTATGGTTCTTGGGGTAGGTGAGTTGCTTTGGCTGAAAACCTTGATGACAGACTTGTGCCTTCCAGTGTCGCTTCCATTCTCACTTTACTGCAACAACAAGTCTGCCATTAGCATAGAAGCAAAGATCATTTCTGGTCAAATTTGCACTCCATTTGTCACAAGCTCTCAGCAGCTTGCAGACATTCTTACAAAGGGCGTCAGCAAGATTGTGTTTGAAAATGCATTGTCTAAGTTGGGCGTTTCAGATATCCACGCACCAACTTGAGGGGGAGTGTTAGCATATATGATACCACAATTTATGGTATAACTTACCATAATAGCAAAGATTTGACCATGCATACGTTAGCATGTATAATACCATGATTTATGGTATAACTTACCATAATAGTAGAGATTTGACTATTCTATAGAATATGCCATAGAATATGCTTTAGAATAAGTTGTGATTTGATTTTTGATTTGATTTAGTTTCTTTTCTTGTAATATGAGCATGTGCTCATTTTATCTATAAATACTAGAGATGTGAATGAGTAATTCATATCATTCAAGCCTTTTTGCAATTCTCTCCTTTCTCTTCTTTTTATATATTTCTACTCTTACATATTACATTCATATCTTGGACTTCTATTTCCACTCACTACCCCATATCCATTATTATTACCTACCATAACTCACAATCACCCATCTGCAAAAGAACCCTACAAATAGTCACTTGCCTTTCCCCTAGTTAAACGCTTTTTATTTGCAGATTTTCATTTCCGCAATGTCGCAAAATCTCCAGCTATTTATTCAAATGCTGAAATCCTGAATTTCAATCAAATATAAAACTCGATAGTCTTATGATCACAACTCCCAGCAGTATCTAAGAGGAGTATAGCCCAAAACATGTTGGCTAAAAAAATGCGTAGTTCAGGCAAGGAAATAAAAATGAAGTCGTGATGAAACATGGACAAATAAGAATTTAGAGACTTACTTGGTTCATACCAAGGTACTCCGATATCCGCAGGGCTAGAAGATGTTGATGGGCATTAATTAGACGACCAATCAGAACTGATGATGTAAGCATCTGAAAAGGGTAGACATATTAAGTATGCTTTCAAGGAAATATCATGCAATTTCAGTTATTTAACTGAAAGCCTAAATTCAGTACACTCTGTATACCTTATATTGCTCAAGACTGAGAGGGATGCCAATCTCGTGGCTGCGTACAGCATTTAGGACACGTAAAGTTCTACACATCTCTTGAAAGCAATCACGTTGAGAATGGCTGCCAAAGCCAACTAGATATCATTACCGAGAACAGAAATCGGGGGGTATGCTATAACTATGTAAAAAGTAATATTACAACGGATATACCAGTAAAGTGAAAGTCACAAAAAAAGGAAGGAACTTCATGCAAATTGGACTTCTGCAGTTCAATCAGTGCAAGAAAACTGAAGAAAGTAAAATCCTATTCTTACATTTTAAGGTGTTAGTACGAGAGGTTAAAGGAAGCAGCAAGAACATAAAGAATGGCACCCCACAGCTGCTGTAATGTATTAGAAAATGATAGAAAGAAATATATTTATAAAATCAAACCAGCTCAGGATCTCAAAAATGCATCATATGCTTCAGTGTCCTTCCAAATTTTGGTTTAATGTCAATTGCTAACCAATTACGGTAAATACAAAACGGCACCTGTTATATCTAGACACTGATACAGGAGTCAGATTTCAACTCGACCACAGGGTAAGAAGAGGTAATTTAGCTAACTCAGAGAACTACAATTTCTACTCCAATATGAGATAAAGAATATGAAAAAGAACAAAAGCATGAAGGCACTTGCCAGAACAACAAAAGGGAGTCCCTCCAAATATTTTTTTTTTTTTTTTTTAAGTAAACCTGGACATGAAAGTTTTTTATGTCTAACAATGATTTGATTTGATATTTTTTTTCTTTTCTAGCCATTTGCATTTTATGAAGTCAGAAGCTTGAAAAAGTTGTAAACATAACAATGCATATAACTACATGTGATGGTGATCGTGCATGCATCTACGTTCACTTACATGTATATCATACAAATTTTCTACCTAATATAGTGTTAAACAACTATCTGTGCTTTTGGTTCCCCTTCCTCCACTTTAGTCTTTAGACCTCCATTTGTGCAGCAATGCTGCCTCTTCAAAATTTCTTTTATTTATTTAGGACTGACTAACATAGACAACAGAAGCAAGTAATTGATTTTACTCAAATAGTGACTAGCAATCTCCTTAAGGCCAAACCCTTAGAAAGCAAATAATCCACACATTGGCACCAAATCTGAATCTAGAATTTATCATTGATATAAAGCAATCACCAAAGTAGAATTTTATATTGAGATAAACTGGAACTAGTTGTTATGACAAACTGCACTACTTAATTTTTACCTATCACCTGCACAAGGAAAAAATATTTCATGATATGTACAAAAAGCATTTGATTCCTCACTTTTCATGAACAAAATATAATTTCAAGACCTACTACAACAATGCCGCAAAACTAACCTGCAAAAAGCTTGGCCATAACTTGCAGCTCTTAGCAGGGTCCGTTGCCGTGAAAGATCAAATTCATGACCGGCAGCATCAATACATGCTTCAACAGCCTCGGGTAAAGATGAACGTATCAATCTCAAATTTTCATCAGCCTGACAACCAATTTGACATCATAATAAAATAAAACTTTCTTTGTTAGGTAATAACATAAAACAATGTTGAACGCTTTTCTGGAAAAATTTTCTTTCTAAGCTCAGCCTATGAAATTTTCTTTATTCAAGTCCATAGCATTTACTTATTGAAGAAAAGGGGGAAAAGATGAAAAAGTAAAGAGAAGCAAATTTTCATGTGTTTCTGCTTTAAGTTATTTGGTTGTTGCCAAACTTTTGGTTTCTTCTATAAAGGATCTCTCATCCTGTCTCTGCTGTACTCTTTTTCCAATTATTACATATTGTTAGCATTTATGATACCACGATTTATGAAATAACTTACCATAATAGCAGAGATTTGACTATGCATATAATAGCATATATATGATACCACGATTTATGATATGACTTACCATAATAGCAGAGAGTTGACTATGCTATAGAATATGCCATAGAATATGCTTTAGAATAAGTTGTGATTTGATTTTGTTTTGATTTAGTTTCCTTTCTTGAAATATGAGCATGTGCTCATTTTGTCTATAAATACTATAACTGTGAATGAGTAATTCATTTCATTCAAGCCTTTACGCAATTCTCTCTTTTCTCTTCTTTTTATATATTTTTAGTTAGTATCAGAGCCAACACCTTTCCACACCTTTCAGCAGCCTTGCTACTTGTGCGACAGCTACCTTAGGCTGTTTGTGACATCGTGTGACGTTACCTACACATGTTTTTTTGTGTTGCTGTTTTGTGATCGAAAACAGGCATTTTTAAGTTTTACAATTTCTTTTTCACTCTTCTAGGATTGGGTAAATTGGGATAGTTGGTTTCCAACGCCTAGAAGGGCTTGGGTAAAAAAAAAAAAATTAGTTTACAAAGAGGTTCCGAATATTAGGAAGGAGGCTGTCTGGCTATATGTAAGCGGGCCGCGCTCCTTAAAAAAAGATATGTATTTGGATTTTTCGGGAATGGTCTGAGAAGACATTGTTAATGGTCTGAGGAGACCTTTTGATTTATTAACAGAATTTGTGGTGATTTTGGAGTTCTTTTTATTGTCATGTGACAGATTATGGCAGATTCAGGGTCCTCGACTGTTAATTCTCTTGGCTCACGTTCTGTGGGTGGTGGTGCTATTTTTCCCACCAACTCATCAGAAAATCCAGGACTTCAAATCACCACAGTGAAGTTGGATGGTTCCAACTATTTGATTTGGACACAGTCTGCCAAGATGTTCATTGGTGGCAAAGGCAAGATTGGCTATATTACTGGTTCTGAGAAAGAGCTAGCTGAGTCAGAGAAGGCATATCCACAGTGGTTTGCAGATAACGCTATGGTTATGTCTTGGCTAGTCAATTCGATGTAACCAAACATAGCTGTTGGCTATATGTTTATGAAGACTGCTAAGCAGATTTGGGATTCAGTTCAACGCACTTATTCTCAGAGGCAGAATAATGCACGAATTTTCCAACTGGGGCGAGATATCACCAGGATTTCTCAGAGTGACTTGACAGTTTCAGGTTACATCGCCAAGCTTCGTGCTATTTGGGAGGAGATGTCATATTATGATTCCTTCCACTCTTGGAAGGATCCAGATGATGCAGTTTTATGTGGAAAAGAATCGAGTGTTTCAGTTTCTTGCCAGGTTGAACGACGAGTTTGAGTATGCTCGTGTTCATTTATTGGGCTTATCTTCATTCCCTACTCTTGAGGATACATATTCCTATGTGTTGTTAGATGAGAGCCGCCGGACTTATCCATTAGGTGTTGCTTCTGTTGATCGTTCTGCTATGGCAGTTCGGATTCCCAACCTTTCAGGAACTTCACCATCCCAGTCAGTTCAGAGCACTACCACCGGTCCTCCTTTGGGACGACAACGTGGACGGTGTGACCATTGCGGAAAAATTGGTCACATCAAATCTCGTTGTTATGCTCTACATGGACGTCCACCGCAACAGAAACAACAGCCTCGATCCTCTGCACATTCTGTTACACAACCAGTCTCGTTGTCAACTCCTAACAACCCTGCCTCTACATCTTCTGCCACAATTACCTAACTCAAGTTGATTTGGACAAGTTCAAGCAATTCTTCAACCAAATGGAGGCATCATCTCAGTCAACTTCCACTTATGCCCACTCAAGTACTATTGCGTCTGCACATAGCGTATCTACATCTTCAACACCATGGATCATTGATTCTGGTGCTTCAGACAATATGACTGGTATATCCTCACTCTTCCAATCTTATAGTATCCACTCTGGCCAACGCAAGGTCTACCTTGCGGATGCCTCTCCATCTTCCATTGCTGGGAAGGGTCACATATCAGTTACTCCTTCATTAACTTTGTCAAATACACTTCATGTTCCAAAGTTAACTACAAATCTTATTTCTGTTAGTAGCGTTACCAAACAATTAAATTGTAGTGTAACGTTCTTTCCCTCTCATTGTATTTTTCAGGATCTGGTGTCGAAACTGACGATTGGCAGTGGGCGTGAAGCGGACGGTTTATACCTGTTGGATGCTCCTTTGTCACCTTAAGCACATTCAGCTTCATTTTCTAATATTGTTTCATCTAATAAAGCCCAGCTTATGCGTTGGCACATGCGTTTAGGACATATTTCTTTTGGTTATTTGAAACATTTATTTCCTTCCTTATTGTGCAACGTGGCAGTGTCAGATTTATCCTGTGAAACATGTCATATGGCTAAACATGTTCGTTCCAATTATCTAGCTAGTAGTAATAAATCTGCTTTAACACCTTTTGATCTTGTTCATTTAGATGTGTGGGGTCATTGCCCAATTACGTTTAGTCTTGGATTTCGATATTTCGTGTTGTTCATTGATGATCATGGTCGTGTTACTTGGATTTATCTTATGAAAACCAAAAATGAGGTATACACCATTTTTAAAAAATTTATGACAATGGTTCAGACTCAATATGGTCGCACCATTAAAAAATTCCGATCTAACCAGGGTACAGAGTACACTTATGGGGAGGTACAACGGTTATGTACAGAATTTGGGATTGAGCATCAGCTGGCTAATGTTAAAACTCCTCAATAAAATGGTTGTTCTGAGAGAAAGAATTATCACATCCTTGACTTAGCCAGAGCAATCTGCATTGGCATGAATGTTCCCCAGTCATTTTGGGGAGATGCAGTTCTTACCGCTGTTTACATCATTAATAGGACTCCTTCTAGGATTCTTAACTTTGCAGCCCCACTCTCAATCTTACATCCCAATTCATCTCTATTTTTTATTCCTCCGCGAGTCTTCGGGTGTGTGTGCTTTATTCACCAGTTGGGGCAAACTCGTACAAAGCTTGACCCCAAGGCTTTGAAGTGTGTATTTTTGGGGTATTTTTGGGGCAAACTCTCAAAAAGGTTATAGGTGTTACCATCCTCCCAGTCATTGGCGGTTTATATCCATGGTGTTTCTTTCTTTGAGCATACACCATACTATAGTGGTTCAGTTGGTTCTCAGAGTGAATGGTTCCCATTGAATATAATGGATGATCACCTTCTTCTGTCTTCAACTCCTCTACCATTACCTGTTTCTTGTTCTATAATTCCTGCTCGTGATACCCCTCCAGCAAGGGGAATTGTTCCTTTTTCACAGGTTTATAGTCGGAGACAACAGGTACAAGCTTCTACTCCCACGATCGACTGCCCTGTTCCTTCGGCACCAGCTCCGCCTTCTCACGCAATTGTTTCGCTTGATGATCGCCCCATTGCTCTTCGAAAGGATAAGCGTTCTTGTACCTACCCTATTTCTAATTTTTTTTCTAATTATGCTCTCTCACCCTCCTATCGGAGTTTTCTTGCTTCTGTTGCCTCGGTTCTCGTTCCTTCCAATGTTGCAGATGCACTAGCATAACCTCAATGGTGTGATGCTATGACAGAAGAACTACAAGCACTTGAGAAAAATCAGACTTGGGACATGGTTCCGCTTCCTATTGGACGAAAGGCTGTGGGTTGTCGTTGGGTGTTTACAGTTAAGCATAATCCAGATGGGTCAGTTGCTTGTTACAAGGCCCGATTGGTTGCCAAGGGTTATGCTCAGACTTATGGCATAGATTATCAAGAGACTTTTGCCCCTGTTGCCAAGATGAATACCATCCGTGTATTATTTTCCGTTGCTGCAATTTGATCTTGGCCTCTATTTCAGTTTGATGTCAAGAATGCCTTTCTTAATGGTGATTTGCAGGAGGAGGTGTACATGGTTCCTCCTCCGAGCTTTCGTTCTCCTGCTCATTCTGATATGGTATGTCGTCTTCGTCGTTCTCTATATGGCCTCAAGCAGTCTCCTCGAGCTTGGTCTGATCGCTTTGGCACTGCTATGCTCAAGTTTGGTTTCCATCAAAGTGCAGCTGATCATACCTTGTTTTTACGTCATTCAGGCGGTAAGACAGTTGCTCTCATTGTGTATGTTGATGATATTATTCTTACCGGCGATGATACTACCGGAATTAATGAGGTTAAGAGCTATCTTGGCCGTCAGTTTGAGATTAAGGATCTTGGTCCCCTACGGTACTTCTTGGGCATTGAGGTGGCTCGCTCCAAGACTGGCATTTTCATCTCTCAACGCAAGTATGTTCTTGACTTGCTTTCTACTTCTGGTCAGCTAGGCGCTCGTCCTGCTGATACTCCGATTGAGCAGAATCATCGGTTGGCTGATTCTGAGGGGGAGTTGTTGTCAAATATTGGTCAGTATCAACGACTTGTGGGGAAGCTCATCTATTTATCCATGACTCGACCTGACATTGCTTATGCCGTGAGTCAATTCATGCACTCTCCTCGTGCTCCACACCTTGATGCAGCTATTCGGATTCTTCGCTACTTAAAAGGGTGTCCAGGCCGTGGTATTTTGTTCGCTAATCATGGTTCACTTACGTGTTGAGGCTTGGACAGATGCTGATTATGCAGGTTCAATTTCAGATAGGAGGTCTACTTCAGGTTATTGTACCACTATTGGTAGTAACTTGGTTACTTGGCGCAGTAAGAAGCAGGATGTTGTCTCTCGATCTAGTGCAGAGGCAGAGTATAGGGCTATGGCTCTTGGGGTAGGTGAGTTGCTTGGGCTGAAAACCTTGATGACAGACTTGTGCCTTCCAGTGTCGCTTCCATTCTCACTCTACTGATACAAGTCTGCCATTAGCATAGCAGCAAATCCCGTTCAGCATGATAGGACTAAGCATATAGAGGTGGACCGTCACTTTATTCGAGAGAAGATCATCTCTGGTCAAATTTGCAGTCCATTTGTCACAAGCTCTCAGCAGCTTGCAGACATTCTTACAAAGAGCGTCAGCAAGATTGTGTTTGAGAATGCATTGTCCAAGTTGGGCGTTTCAGATATCCACGCACTAACTTGAGGGGGAGTCTTAGTATTTATAATACCACGATTTATGGAATAACTTACCATAATAGCAGAGATTTGACTATGCATATAATAGCATATATATGATACCACGATTTATGGTATGACTTACCATAATAGCAGAGAGTTGACTATGCTATAGAATATGCCATAGAATATGCTTTAGAATAAGTTGTGATTTGATTTTGATTTGATTTAGTTTCCTTTCTTGTAATATGAGCATGTGCTCATTTTATCTATAAATACTAGAGCTGTGAATGAGTAATTCATCTCATTCAAGCCTTTACGCAATTCTCTCTTTTCTCTTCTTTTTATATATTTCTACTCATATTATTTGTATTTTATTCAGAGAGAGAGAGAGAGAGAGAGAGGGGGGGGGGAGGGAGAGGGAGCACCTGATGGGATATAAATTCCTTTTGCTTCACATATATAAATCAACCAACAATTCTTAAAATCATAATTTTAACATGTATGCACATAAATATGTTTCTACCAAAAAATTGATCCATGCATAAAATTTATGCAACAAGTTCAGAACATGGCATAATATGACAAGTGAGAACTATTTTTTGTAAGACTGCTAAATAGATGTAGACCGTAGTTAAAACACTTTGTTTGAAACATACAACATTTTAAGAGAAAATTTTTAAAAAGGAAAGAAAGAAAGAAAGAAAGCAAGAAAGAAAGAAAGAAAGAACAAGGTGAACACAAACATTTAGAATCTAAAAGAGTTCCAAAAATATATACAAATTATATCATGAATGGTGAATTTTGCCCTACCTTGGCACTGCGCCGGTCAAAATGATCCAACGCATCATATAGTAAAGCTGCAGGTAATGTGCTCCCAATCTTAAAAATAGATTCTGTAGAATCTGGAACTCGTTGTAGAAATTCCATACTTGTGTTAGAAAGTATTCTCACTCCATCAAACTCTGGGATAAGAATAATCGGTTCATCGTAAAGGTAGCGCACAGGATCTCCAAAAGGACCCACCATCAAAAGCATATCATCCCAGTAAAGTAATACACTGTCCATTCCACACCAAGCTAGCTGCTCTGGAGGAAGGGCTGACTGTACATAAGAAAAATGAAATACAAAGAATAAGATATAAATGTTATTTGGCTAACAATCATCCTTGGAAATAATATCAGGGACTAAAATGTATTAGGGAACTTAAAAACCCCATAAAAAATTAACTCTGCCCACTAGGTTCTTCAAACTGCAGTTGCAATCGTTGTGCATGTTTGCCAATTTATTTCACAAACAGTAAAACGTGTGTTCATTACCAAAAATAAAAATAAAATAAAATAAAATAAAAAAGAAGAAGAAGAAGAAAGAAAAGAAATGTCTACACAGCACACAAATAAGTAAAATTATTTGATGAAAGATACTGAGTTGGACAAATCAACTCACTGGAACACAATTAGCCACAAGGATCTCTGAATTCTTTTTTGCAGAACCAAAAAAAATAGTAAAATTCCATTTAGCTGGAGGTCCTTCACTTAAATACTTCACCAGTTCCTTTCTTCCCATAACAAACAGATTACAACAAACAGCAAAACTCGAGGCAGCTGAACTTACTCATTCAAACTAAGATAAACCATCTCAAATGACACATATGGTTGATGAGAAGAAGTGCTCATTAATTATAGATTTACAAAGAACCTCAGTCAATGTTAGGTCAAACCCAATGTTTCACAATGTCCACCATTAAAGTTCAGCTATTTATGTGTTATTACTTCTCAAGATGCACATACATATGTTTGCTTGTGTGTGTGAAATTAATATTATGCAATCACGTATATTTTTTCAGTTTAGTGTGCTGGTGATCCGTTTTATTCACAAAATGTTAGGAGTTGAAGGATACTATGATAATTTCATTTGACAACAATTAGATATAGATTAGATTTTTTTAAAAATTGGTGATTTCATTTGCAAACATTCAGATATAGTAATGATCCGTAAGTTCGTTTTTTTTTTGGTATAGTGTGTGTGTCTGTTCAAATTATGTTATTTGGTGTTCTACAGCAAGTCTGTGACCTAGTAGAAGTATGAGCTCGAGATCCTCCTCCTTTCTCCTCCTCCACCAGTAGAAGTATGAGAACGAGAACACCTACTCTACTCCACCTCCTCTGCGCCTTCACCTTGTAGAAGTAGGAGGAGGAAAAAACAGTCTAATTGCTTTACAGTAGGTTCTTAATCTAGTAGAAGTATGAGAAAAACAGTCCAGTTCAGTTTCTTTCCTTCCTTCCTTCCATTGGTTGTTTGCAGTCCTATTAACCCACAAGCAGTCTTAATAATTACTAAACTTATAAAATTTATTTCAGTATACCTAATTGTTTCTCCATCAACATTTCAATTCTATCAACCCAAAAACACAAAACAAACTAAATTATTGTTCGCAAATTGCGACTCATGGTCCCAGAGCAACCCTTATTTCATCCCCAAAACTCTAATCTCGCAAGATTTATCGACCCTAATGCTTACCCTACATCTTGGATTTTATTTTAGGACCAAAAATCCTACAGTTAAAATACTCGCTGTTCAGAAATAAGTGGAAGTGTGCTTGACCATTTCCTGAGGCTCTGATGAGTCAGAATGTGAGCAGTGCAGTAGACCTCAAAGGAGGGTTGGGGTAAATAGGACTTATGGATATTTTTCTGCTTTTAACCAACTTTTCGACAATCAGTTACTCTAATTCAAATTCCAGGTAGTTATTTTGTGAGAATTAATTTTTTAATCCTAATTTGCTTTAAATCTCAAATTATCAACTCACAAGTCAACAAAAACAGAAACTAAAGTACAGTAGAAAAGAATGAACAACACATATTTTTTATGTGGAAACCCTCGAAAGGGGAAAAATCATGGGACCTAGTCTAGTCAGGTACAATTTAACACATTTTATGAGCCCAGTCAACATCAATTTAGGTCCAACTAAGGCATCACTAAAGTCCATTTACTTGATACTATATTTGTGATTGAGGGTGCGATATTCTGCCGTGAACTTCACGATTCTGTCTCCTATATCTTCAATAGATATCCACAAACGACTCAAGACACTTTGACTAACTCAGGTTTTGGGTAGGAATATGACATCACCCGACTCAATATGATAATAGTAAGCACCTAACATTTCATGCCATTACGAGATCGTTTGGTGGTACAACAAAGAGAAAATTGGAAGAAAACGGCACAGAAGGTCCAACTTTAAGAACTTAGTTGAGGGGTCGACCGAAACTGCACGAAAGGTCAAACTTTAAGAGGTTAGTTGAGGGGTCGACCGAAGTTGGATTGGGGTGAACTGGTGAAGCATATGTCACAAGAAAGCTCATCGAGTCCAGTCTCTGAAAGTATAAATTTCACAACCACATTCTATATAAATAACCTGTAGTTATTTTAAGGAAGGCAGAAAGGTCAGATTTTCATAACATTTTTCGCTTTATATGATTAGATATTATTTAGGTTATCCTCAAAAGTAGTCTTGGGATTATTAAAGACTTCTTTAGAGTCTAGCAAACATTTTCATAAAGTATTAGATAGCCCAAGATATCTTACATAAAAGGACTAAGGTTGCTAGGATTGGGTTCCTATGTTGGATCGAGTAGCAGGTCCATCGGACCAGATCAGGGATCATAAGATCCTATAAAACAAGGAAAAAACACACTAAAATTATATGTACAAGTAAAGAATTCTTAAAACAGATAGAGAAAAATTCTAAATACATAAAAATATAAATATTATAATAAACAAATGGAACATGCATGTATACACAAGTTCATGCAAGTAAATTTGATAATGAAGCACGGGTCAGTATGAAAAGTCCTAATGCACCATGCAGCCTATAGAAAAGGTTGTACATGGGAAGATCAATATTCAACTACTTCTATTCTCAATTTCTCTTACGAAATGCATGTTCATAATATTGAAATAACTTCTTAATGAAACAAAGTCCAAGAAAACTCTTTAATTAATCTACCAAATATAAAAAACATATGCTAACAACAATGAATTTTTTTGACAAAAGGTTTAGAATCAGTCCACTTTAGAATATTTTCAAGTACCATAAAAAAGAAAAAGATAATTGGATTTTTTACATACCAAACCGATCCTATGGCAAAACCTTGTGATCCTATGGAAATCTTAGGATCTTGACGATCCTATGATAATCCTACCATGATCCAGTCCTCTGATTTTTCGTACTATCTAGATCGATTCATAAGTTTGGATCGTAGGATCATGCAATTTTACAGTTTGTATTTTGACTTTAATAACCATGAGATTAAGTGGCAGAGATTACGCTAGTTTAGCTTGAGCACTGAAAGGGCATGAATTGAACTCAAACGTTTCATAGTGCACAAGACCTTAAGAGAACATGTAATATTAACTATTTGATTATCTAGGAGTAGTAAAAGATAAGGAACCAAAACTAGAAAGATCCATCTGTGGGAGAGTCGATGTATCGAACAATAACATTCTAGGAGGGTAAGGTGCATCCCATGATATTCCCAGGTTAGTATGAACAACTTGTAGTAGTGACGATGCACACTTTTGCATGGGTAAGACCTTGGGGTAGCAATGGCATACCAAATAACCCTTCCCAAGATTAAGCCACTGATTGTGGGAAATCTTAAGAATTTTTTTGAAGAGAAGTGTGAGCTCCACGTGATTCTGATGGTTACATGAGTGAAATTTCTATGATCCCCTTTCCTGCCGAGCATGCCTTGGCAGGTGAGCTGCATGTGATCCCCCCATTATTTAGTCATGGTACAGCGTGAGCGTCTCTTAGGTGAGGTTTGTACTATTAAAACCACAATATATGTATTTGCAAGTTACTTATGAACATTGACACTTATTACTTGGATAATTGTTTACAATCCCGATCATTGGATAGGTGCAGATCAGTTGAGTACAGTCATGTATCCACGGATTAGAGAGTTAGCCACAATGTTCAATTTTATTTGCATTCAGATTCATGAATGAGTTAGAGAGTTGTGGAAACACAAAGAAAACTAACAGTTAATAATGATTACTGACAAAATTAAAAAATAATAATAATAATAAAAAATAAAGAGATAAATGAATATTACAATAAAAAAAATTTGTTAGCCAGACGAACACTTCAGATGACAGTTGAGACACAAATCATACAACTACTAAATTGTGCCCATACTTAGATGTTAAAATTCTATTTATTAAATGTCAGTCACATAGTTATATATTGAGCTACAGCAAGATTAATACTGGTCAACTCTTCTAGTGGAGTGTATCTTTTCAATGCTACTACTATAAAGTAACAGGAGAAAACAGAAATACTAAATTATGTAAAAGCCAATTTTGATGAAAGAAATGGCAAACCAACCTCACAACTGTACTCAAAAATGATCTTTGAGAAGTCTGTGGACATAACCAGAAGCCGCCCATCATGCGTAAATGATGCCAACAATTTCCCATTGCGCGACACCACCATTTTCTGCAGTGGTCCTACTCCAGCACCCAACTGCTGAACCCCATCCTCCTCAACCAACAACACATGATCCTCCACACCAAGCAACACCTCCACATTCTCTGACATAGTATGCTGCGGCTCAATCACCGCCACGCAGAGAGGCAACTCCTCGAGATTGGTGTCAGCCAGCTTGCACGGCATCGGATTCTCGAAATCCTGAATGCAAAACACCTGGTTGGCCTCGTTGATACACACCATTCCATTGCCCCAAAACACACACTCCACCACACTATGCTCAAAACACTCATTACCCATTGAAATGTTGGGTTCAAGCAGCTCGGCATGAATGTTGTACCGATAAACGGTACCGTCCTGGGTGACGCAAACTAGGGTTTGGTCATGGGCCCACGCCATCCCAACCAATCGGCCACCGGGGTTTCTCCACACTGTCTCGGAGATCTGGTTGCCGGCGGAGTTGAAGATTCGGAGCTTTCGAAGGGAGGATTCGGCGTAGAGTTGGACTATCTTGGAATCGTCACGGATGACGGCGATTGGTCCACCGAAGGAGGCGCAGGCGACCTTGTTGCGGCTGAGGTCGATGTGTTTCCATTGCATTGAATAGATTTCGGGCTTACGGTAGTAGCGGTTGTAGAGGAGCTGCCACTCGGCAGCGACGGATACTGCCGCCATGAGGAATCGAATTGAATTGGGGTTTTGAGAATGTTGTAGAAGAGAATGTTAGGGTTATAGATTTGTTGGGTTGGTTCATAGATTTTTTTTCTTGTGGGAATAGCTTGATTGAGGAAGACTAAATTGATGAGATTTTACAGAGAAAATAGTGGATTGTTGGGGGAAAATCAGTGGTGGTGTTGTAGATTAGCTGAGGTTTTGAAAAAGGTAGGTATATATATAGCGCAACATCGTATAACAATGAAAGAAAAAGAATGGGGAAGTTGAAAGAGCGAAGCTGAAGTTACAATTTCACCCTTCAATTTTTGATTTAAGGGTAAAATACAGCAACACCCCGTGCGGTTTGTCAAAAGGACACGCAGGTGATGCTTACTTATTTTTTAGACAAAAACACCCTTAAAGGTTCAAAAATAAACAAAGACACCCCTAACACAAGAAATTAACCAAATTATCCTTTGACCATTTAGGAAACTTATTTAAATCTACAATTTAATAAATTGGATCAATCTACCCTTATGAACAATTTATGCATAAAATAAAAAATAAAATATAAAAAAGTCTCTTCTCTCTCAATATCTACTACCTAATACTTTCTCTCTCTCAATAGACCAGACGGCGCCGGCTATGGTCTGGATAACGGCCATCGTCATCACCCTCTTCCTTATTCATAAACCCAATTTTCTACTCTCAAAACTTATTGATTTCAAAGACTTCAACAATGCTTCCCTTCTCTTCTCTCATATGACTGAACCCAGTGACTACGCTTTTAATGTGATGATCCGTGGCCTAACAACTACATGGCAAACAACTCGAAATGAAAAAGATGCTTCTGGGTAGTTGTTTATTTCGGTCATTATCTTTTGTTCACTGTAAACAAACAGGTCAAGTGAAGATGACATCAATGAGCATATTGGCCATTTACATGGATCCAGGTGTCTTTTCTTTTTGCTTTCAAAAAGACGACTTGAGTCTTATGAGTTCCATTAGAATTCTATTACCAAATGAAGTTTTGGGGCTTAAAGCCGAATAATTTTACATTTCCATTCTTGTTTATTGTCTGTGCGAATCTTTTAGCATTTGAACATGGGAGGCTGGCCCATTAAATGGTTTTCAAGAATGGGTTGAGTGTGGATGGTTATATGGCTAATTCAATGATCACAATGTATTCAAGATGTGGTGAATTGGGTTATGCATGGAAAGTGTTTGATGAAATTAGGGAGAGAGATATAGTGTCGTGGAATTCGATGATACCAGGGTACTCTGAAAATGGGTTTTGCAGCGGAGGCGATGAAATTGTTTGGGAGAATGAGGGATGAAGGGATTGACCCCAACCCAGAAGCATCGGTGATAGTTTAGTCCGGCGAAACCCAGAAGCATCGACGACAGAACGGATCTGCTAATGTCATCATTTTGATTTCTATGTCTTAGAAGCAAGTGACTGCTCTTCAAGACTTCCGACCCTTGGAACTAGCCTCAATGTCGCTTCTGGCTTTGTTGCAGAAAGCTCCACAGTGGTGCGTGCGGCGCGTGTAGGGAAAACAATCTTGTTTACGACGCGTGGAGCTCTAGTAGTAGGATTTTACATCTGATTCGCGATTCTCCTCTTTGTGCACCATCGGTAGTTTTAGATCGGTGGTGGTGGAGGGAAAATAGGTGGTGGTGGTTAGGGATGGCAATTTGACTCGCCCCCGCGGTTATCCGCCCCATTTTTGGCAATTTTGGGGGACCATTTAGCTAATTTGGGCGGGAATGGTTTGATATAACAAAAACCCGCGCGGGTTTGGTGTGGGGGCTGAGGGAGATCGCCCCGCCCCGCCTCGTTTAGATATGGAAATTACTTAACTACCTTTATTTAATTATTATATATATTTCCTATTAGAAACTCTAGGTTTTCTTAACTCTCTCATTCACATCATTACTCTCAGCTGCGCCTACCCGTCACCTAATAGGTAATTAATTAATTATCCTTATTTTATTTAGTATATATACTCGCATTGGAATAATGTAATTTGACTTGTCTAGTTTTGGTATGTTATCTTTTATGAAATTGCTGTTATAGAATGTCTTTAATGTTGAATTAACTATTTATTTTCCATTTTTAATGAATCTTTTCAATAATTATATAATTTTAGTTGATAAAAAAATTAAATGTAGGAGAAATTTTGGTTTTAAACGGGGCCGAACGGGTACCCGTAGGGGTAAAAATGTTAAACGGGGGCGGGGATTGGGTGGAAAGTCCCCCCGTTTTTGTGGTTTTGGACAGGGACGGGGGTGGAGTTTTCTAAACGGTTGTGGGGGTGGGGAGGCGTACACCCACCCAAATCAGTCCTCGTTGCCATCCTTAGTGGTGGTGTAGGGAGAAAAATGGATGGTAGTTGTAGCGGTAGCAGAGTGAACATCGTGTGTATATATAAATAGAGAGAGAGGGGAGAAGAGGGTGGTGGTGGCGGCGGTGGGGCAGTGAACGTAGAGAGAGTGGGGGAAGAAGGTGGTTTGGTCAGGTGGGTAGTCTAATCTGGTGCTACTTGGTAGCCAATTTGTGGTTGAAAAAAATTGAGGGTAATTGTGTCTTTTTACTATATTTGATATTTTATAATAAATTTGATTTTAATATTGAGGGATAATTTCGTCTTCTCAAAAGGTGTGGCTGAACTTTACCCTTAATTTAAAATAAATGGTTAATTACAATGACACCCCCTAAGGTTTGCTATAATGACAATCATAGATAAGTTATGCTTTTTTAAACAATGACACCCCTGTCAGAATTTTTGATCCAAACACGCCCTTAAATGGTTGAAAAAGACGAAATTGGACATCATAATTTTAATTATAAAATATCATAATTTTAAAAATACACTTTTGCCCTTCTCCACTTAACCTATTCATTCCCTAAACCAGTGTCGTTCATTCCCCCTTGATGAATAAGGGTAACCAGTTGTCAATGAATAAGATCGATACAAATCATCACCTATAAATATCGTAAATGCTCGCCACCAATAGCACACCACTCGGACAAATTCGAAGCTCGAAGTGCATGGTACAACACCTTGCTCGGGCCATCACCGGCGACGATTGTATCACTGCCAAGAACTCCTTACTGAACGGCCCAAACACATCCTCCACCTCCTATGACAGCGGCACCACTGTCATCTCTGTTGTTGGTATTCCGCCTTATCGCTTCTCCTTAATAGAGATTGTCATCACGATATTAAGTCCGTACTCTGATTCTGCAGCATCACCGGATCTATTTGGATAAGGCTCGATTCACTTACAGGTTGGTATGTGAGACGTCGAACACGAAACTGGTCGGATCGATTCGATTACATCCAACCCGGATGGATTACCCAGTCTGAGATACAGACCCAAAACCGAAAGGGGAGAATCCACACTTACCGATCTCTTTAATGGCTACTGATTTAAATACTCCATCGCCTTTGTCGGTACTCATCGACAAGCAATTCCCACTTGAGGGTGGAGTTCTAGTAGTTCTATTTGGCCTTGTTGGTTCGATCCGAGAGGAAGGGGCGATGGTGGTCCATTTGTTGCCAAACTGGGTGATGGTCTCCATTAAAACTGGGTTTGGAGAGATTTTTTTGTGATTAATTTGGGGAAGGTTAGGGCAGTATAGGAGTGGATTGGACTGGATTGAAATTGTATGTGTGTATATGTATGTGACTGCATGTAATACATGTGTGTGTGTGTATATAAGAGATTGAAGAGAGGAAAGAAGAGGCGATGGTGGGAGCGGTGGGGGCTGCTGCTTTGTGGGTAGGTTAATATGAAAAAGGAACTGGGAGATTGAGGTGAGACACTGATTGGGCAAAAAAATGAAGAATAGGTAAATTGGCAATTTCATTATTTAAAAATGTCATCAAAGGACATTTAGGTCATTTTATCATGTGTCAAGCACTCAAGGGGTGTTTGTAGCAAATGAATCAAACTTGAGTGATGTCATTGTTCAAAAAAAGTTAAACTTGTATATAATTGTCATTATAACAAACTTTTGAAAATGTCATTGTAATTAATTCAAAAATAAAAGTAGGGATAACTACCATGAACTTTTCACTTTCATATATCGGTAGGTACTAAGCAGTAGTAATGCTATTCAAGACGCGATGATTTATGCCAAGTAAGTAATGTGGAGGATCAAGGGTCGGTCAGGCCAAAAATTGGATAAAAATCATATCTTGGCGTATTAGTACACGGTTGATGAAATAATTTGAAATACAAGTAATGTTTGACCTTGCAATTCAACATTGTCCTAACGTGTATTTCTATTTTTTCTTCACTGGTCATGAGAGATGCATTGTTGCGTCGGAGAAGATTTTAATTACGTCCATACCATTTGAAGTAATAAGACGAGTCTTATATAATTTTTTTTGGAGTAATAAGACGAGTCTTATATTTTTTATTTATTTTTTGATAATAGTGATGTCTAAGCTCTTAGGACATTTCATGTGCATAGATAATTATGGAAAAATTTTCCTCCAGATGACCTAAGAAGATTTGAACTCATAGGTGGTGTTATTTAATATAAGGGATTAAATCAACTCTTGTTTTTAATTTTTTATTATCAAATTCTAACCTGTTTCTAAAAATTCAATATGTTTAAAAAATTATCACATTGGCTCAATATCGGATTGTGAAATGACAAATTTAATCTTACTGTTTAATATTAAATTAAAAACTAAAAAATATTTTTTAAAATTACAAAAATACCCTCTTTTTCATTTTACTGTTCTTCTTCCTTGCCAACAACTTGCCGCCGGAGTCTTCACCCCGGCGTGGAGTCACCGAACTGAATATAATCTGTTGTTGCACAAGGCAGCGACCTTGAACCATGAATCGACCACCTTGAACCATGAATCAACCACTTGGAACCATGAATTGACCCAAAATGGGTTGCCGGCAACTACGTTTGTCGCTGCCCATCTGTTCGCTGCCACCAAATCGCTGGACAGAGATCTGGATTCTCCATGGACGGGGGCCATCCCCGTCCTTCTCTCAAGCCTTGGGTCGCTGTTTGCTACTCAAGATTTCCACCAAAGTGACCCATAGTCCAAACGCGGCGCTATGTCAATGGTTATTCAGACCATAATCCAATCTATTCCACAAATCAGGAAAAAATAACTCATTTTTCGATACCATGGGATTCAAGGATATAGAATCTCTTCTCAAAGCAAAAAACCACTTTGTTGAGATAAGAGAAATAGAATTCTCATATAAATGCATATTAAGACGTTCTTTTGTTTTGATGGGCTAGTAAAGATGGCAATTCCCTTCTCAATTCCCAGCTCGTAAGCCTTTTCGTCGAGATTGTGTTTTTGTTCGGTGTACTAGGTCAATATACTAGGAGAGGGGTAAAATATTGAAATCTAACAGAGAAGCTTTCTTCTCTACGTACCTGTTCCCCTTTTCTTCTTTTCAGGAATCAGAAAGTGGATGGAGAAACTCAAACTCACAGAGGATATATTAAGAAATAAGAATGCAAACACAGTAATAAAAAAGAGAGGGTATTTTTATAATTTAAAAAATAATAATTTTTTATTTTTAATTTAACATTAAATGATAAGATCAAATTTGTCCTTTCACAGCCCAATTAGCATTTATGATTTAAGCCCTTAATATAACACCATTTTTTAATCTTTTTTTTATTATTTTTTTTCAAGGCAAGAAATTAAATTCATAGATACAAAGAGTCGAAATCTGACACTTTAAAGTTCATCGGAAGCACTATTACTGGACTATTGAGACATTTGCAATCTCATACATGAATTGGTTTATTAGTTATGAATAACTACTGATGATTTTTTCATGGTGCAATCTCATACAGAGTATACTACAAATGGGTTATATTATGATGAAATATTTCCTCAAACATGATTATCTTAAATTTCATTGAATATAAACTAGTTTTCTGTACAAAATGGTACATATGTATTAATCTTAAAATGTTTTTATTTGGATTAAGTTTCATCACATAAGTAGTTAATCACTGTGAAGTACCAAAATTTTTACAAGAACCTTACCTCTATAAAGTTATATTAATAAATAAATAGTTAAAGCATAAGAAGATTAATCATATGCTATGTCTGACAGAGCCGAATTTGCCTTTTAGATTTAAAATTAGAAAAAATTTAGTATAAAATTTGAATTAAATTTCCTCTAATCTTAAATCCAAAATACTGATTTGTTGTTTCCAAACATAACAATATAGTAGTATTTTACAATTCAAGATGCATAAAAGCAATGGACTTTTAATCTTAAAGATGGTGTGTTAATACCGTGCATAGATGCAGACAAGCCAATATTCATGACTCAAATCTGTGTTAGCATTCAACAATAACAATCTAACGGTCAAATTCATATTTTAAGAGTTAGGTGCAAATTCAACGTACACATAAAACATTTGTTGTAAAACATAAAAATCATATAACAGACGCACATTACTTCCAGAGCTTGAAACATTTTTTTTATTAAATAATAAAAACAATAAAATAAAATTAAAATCATATAACAAACAAACATTTCTTGAAAATGACATAATTGAAAAACAATCATGCCATATTTGGTAGCACTAAATTAGTGCCTTTAATTTAATATTGAAGAAATTTTAGTACTAATTTTGAACTAAACTTCCTCCTATTCCAAATTCAAAGCACTGACTTGATGATACCAAAGTATATTTTGTAAACTGTTACATGACACTTTGTGCTGCAAGGACCGTTAAAAACCATGGTCAACGTATATACACCCACATGATAATTGGCGCCTAATGTCTTGCAAATTGTTTTCAAACGTTAATCCACCACAGTTGGACCCTAAATATGATACTTTCCCCTTGTACTTCTGTAACTTTCTCAATTGATCTCTTCACAAATACGTATATAACATCCTTTTTATACAAGGGCTTCAAGACCCTTAATACACACAGTAGAACACACACTAAAACACACACAGATGAATCGTATGGCTATGAGAAAAAACCCACATCAAAGAATAAAGACAGTTCGACTAGCAATGAAGCTGTTCATAGTGGTGATCTTTCTCGGGCATGTCATGATATGGATAATGATGCCGACTAACACTTTTTGGCTACACTGGTTGCCCAACATTCAATCTAAGGCCAATTCTACCTACTTTGGACAACAAGGTTTGAACTCTTATTGTTTGACTGTATTTAAAAGAAAAGCTTGGGATACCATATTTTTTCACCTATTAAAAAAGAACTGTAATTATAGATATTGATGTGTTATGAGCATTTTGAATTTTAATTTGCTGACATTTTTCAACCATATAGGTGCAAACATTCTTATTTACACATTCCCAATCCTAAGCATTGCTACTTTGGGGTGTTTATATCTCCATTTGGGAAAGAAACTTCGTGAACAGAACAATGAAAGGTAGTTACAAAAGCTAATCACTATCATTCTATATAAATAATTGTCTTGGTTTTATTTATTTATTATTAGTTTTTTGGATCAAGTAAATAGTTGTCATAGTTGCTACTCTAGGTCGAGGGTGGTTTATAGACCTGAATACTCTCCAGTGGAGCAATAAGACCTGTTTCGTTCAATTTGGGATGGACCTTGCAAAAAAAGTTGGGATGTTTAACAAATATCCCAATTTTTTTTGTAAATTTTTTGTAAAGCACATCTCGAATTAGACGGAATACATAATGAGATTTTCTTCTGATGTTTATACCTTCCATACTTGGTTTCTGTTGACAGCAGAGCAAAGAATCCCCCTTTGGCTTCGTGGACACGGCCAGCACTCGTGAAAGGACCTCTAGGGATCGTGTCGTGGACAGAGCTATCCTTCTTCTGTATGTTCATTGCACTCTTGATTTGGTCATTCTCTGCTTATTTACATGGCATGTTTGCAAACATCACTAGAGAATCTGCAGCGCGAATGAATGAGAAAAAGTAAGAACTAACATTAATTTCTTTAACCGAGTAAAGAAATTTGTTACTAATGTTGCATCCAAATTATGAAATGGTGATGATGATGGTTTGGGCAGGTGGGAAGTTAAGTTGGACAGTGCATCACTAATGTTGGGGCTCGTCGGTAATATCTGTCTAGCATTTCTCTTCTTCCCGGTAACCAGAGGATCTTCCATATTGCGCCTCATAGGCCTCACATCAGAGTCAGGTATCAAGTATCATATTTGGTTGGGGCATATTGTTCTGACCCTCTTCACCGCGCACGGCTTATGTTACATTACATTTTGGTTTGACAAAAACCAATTGTCAGAGGTACAACTAATTACTGTTATTCATGTTATAGATTTCTGAAACACTGGGAATTTTTTATTTTTTTTCAATAAATTTCTTTTATATCTCTTGTAGTTTTGAGGGCTTAAGAAACTTTAACATGCTTCGATTTTGTGGCAATGTAGATGATCAAATGGGATACAGTTGGGGTTTCGAATGTAGCTGGAGAAGTAGCTTTGCTCTTTGGATTGGCCATGTGGGCAGCAAGCTTCCCCTGCATAAGGCGAAAGATGTTTGAGCTCTTCTTCTACACTCACAATCTCTACATTCTATTCATCGTATTCTTTGTATTCCATGTCAGCTTCTCCTATTCTTGCATCACACTTCCAGGCTTCTACCTCTTCTTGATTGATCGGTACCTAAGGTTTTTGCAATCCCAGCAAAGGGTTCGCTTGGTTTCTGCTCGGGTTTTACCTTGTCAAGCTGTGGAACTAAACTTCTCTAAAAGCCTAGGTGAAAAATTGTACTCTAGAATTGCTAATGATTTGAAAACACACACAAACACACACTAGTATCATGTGTAGAAATGAAAGGGGACTTGCCTTCACTACAAACTAATGATGTTATGCTCGTCTTTGCCTTCAATATGTGACCAGGATTGAGTTATAATCCAACAAGCACCTTGTTCGTAAACGTACCTGGCATCTCTCGGCTTCAATGGCATCCTTTTAGTATTACCTCCAACAGTAATATGGAGCCCGAGAAGCTAAGCATTGTCATAAAAAGTGAAGGAAGCTGGTCTGAGAAGCTGTACCAAAAGATTTCATCGCCTTCATCAATGGAACGCGTAGAGATCTCTGTCGAAGGACCTTATGGACCTGCTTCAACACATTTTTTAAGGTAAGCATAATTATAGGAAAACAGTAAGATCACAGATGAGTAGAAGCAGCATTTCCTTGTTTTTAACAGTTTAAAATTTTGAAATACTTTTAACAAACATAAGCTTTGCCATAGGTCTATTAGAAAAAAGTTCATTTTATTGCAATTATCAATCATATTATACATTTAAATGTACAAAATAAAGTCTTACGTGATAAACTTATGATTGATTTAGTGGTTTGAAAATTTGATCTATCAAGCAATACAGAAAAAAGAAGTACTAATTTTACATTCTACCAAACAAAGTTTAAGACTGTCTCAAATGCATTGCAATGTGCAGGCATGACATGCTTGTGATGGTCAGTGGAGGAAGTGGCATTACTCCTTTTATCTCCATAATCCGTGAACTCCTCTTTACTGCCAGCACATCTAGCTGCAAGAAGCCACGGATTCTCCTCATTGCTGCTTTCAGAAAAGCTGAGGATCTCACCATGTTAGACCTTCTCATCCCAGTTTCCGCCAGCACTACCTATGACATTTCTCACTTGCAGTTACAAATTGAGGCATACGTAACAAGAGAAGACGAGCCCATTAAAGATGATCAGAAGCACCACCGAACCATTTGGTTCAAGCCTAGTGCACTGGATGCACCAGTTTCTGCAGTTTTGGGCTCAAACAACTGGCTTTGGCTTGGGGCTATAATTTCATCCTCATTTGTCATTTTTCTTCTGCTCATTGGCATTCTCACGCGATACTACATATATCCCATCGATCATAACACTAATATGATATACTCGAACACTTCAAGATCTGCTCTAAACATGTTATTCATAAGCATCTCCATAGTTATGACAGCAACTGCAGCATTTCTTTGGAACAAAAAAGGGACTGTTCAGGAATCGAGGCTGATCCAAAACACGGACATGCCAACGCCAGTGACATCGCCAGGGTCAGCTTCACAGTTCTACAGTGCCGATAGAGAGTTGGAAAGCCTTCCCCACCAATCTTTTATTCAAGCTACCAAGGTGCACTTTGGTGAAAGACCCAATCTCAAGAGTAAGATATTCTTACCATCCCACTTATTTTCTTTAATTTGTATAAACCAAAAGAACACCAAACCATATATATCACTATTATAACATGATATCATGCATTACCTGCAGTTCAAGAAGTATCCTTCTGTAACTAGTTAACAGATATGGTGTTAATTAGTCGTAGATTAATGATGATGATGATTTATCATATAGAAGTAACAATGGTAAAAAGAGGCTCAGGCAATTCTAAAGTTACTTAAAAAAAAAAAAAAAAAAAAATACATTCACACACCTCACTTGTCCCTATGAACTTTCTATTTTGGAAGGCGAGGAAATACTACTAGGCTACAACCTTTGTAGCACAACTATATTGCATCCCGGGATTTTTTATTTTTTCTTTTCCCCAACCTCTATTACTTTCAAGCTGAAGTAGCTAGGTGCAATGATTCCTTTTCAGAAATGCTGTTAGAGCGTGAAGGATCAAGCATTGGAGTTCTCGTTAGCGGCCCTTGGAAGATGAGACAAGAAGTTGCAGCGATCTGCTCATCTGGCTTGGCAAATAACCTACATTTTGAATCGATCAGCTTTAGCTGGTGATCTGAAAGAAAGCTTTTACTTACGCGTATGAGATATGACGACTGAAATATCTATCGTTTCGGCTATAATTCAATTATGGTTGTTGGTTGCTTTGCTTTGGTTGGGAGGAGCTGCCTTGCCATTCTCTGTATTTTGTATGCCCTGTTCTCTGCTACTTAGTAGAGGTTATTTATTTTTATTATTTTTTCTTTTTTACAGTGAACACTGTCACACTAGAGAGAGTTGATAATAATATATATATATATATATATATATATATATATATATATTTTTTTTTTTTTACACTAATAATTATTTTGAAAAGAATATCTTTCCCTTTTATTAGGTTGGTGATTTGTAAATTAAGGCATGTGACCTAATAATATCTCATCTCATTTTAAAGTGAAAGGTAGATTATTTAACTCTCCGAAAATATTGTAGAATTTATTGATCAAAAACTACTATATACCAATCAAATAAATAAATAAATTGAATGCTACTATATATGTGCAATTACAAATAAATTCCCTTTACTTCGAAAATTTAGAGGGAAAATGGGAGTTGACTTCTTTTTTCATTAAATTAGATTTAATATATTATTATCAACTTGTAATATCTTATTTTTGAAATAGTAAAATTAAATGATAAATGTTGCACTTGTTTAAAGAACACTGTTATCCAACCTATAGTACATATAATAAATAATGCATGTTGGAGTATTGTCTGCATAGAGTGTTAATTATGGTCAACATCAAGGAAAACAAGATCAAACATTTTTTCCTCTATCTCTGAATTCTTCAAATGCAAAGATTCTTACAATAACCATAAACATTATCTAGCACAATTTCCATTTCATTTTCACACAGAAAAATAGAAAACCATCCACATAGGTCACCATATCACTTGTAGGAATCACTGTGCCCTAATCAAACACATGCAGAACATCAACAGCTGAGCCCTAATCGAACATTGTTGAGCTTCAATAGCTGCTTTAGATTCTGATTTGAGCTCCACTTGTCGCTTATGATTGCTGATCGACGACATGCATTGATTAATTTTAGCCCTAACAGCACATACATGGCAATATAATTTAATTCCACGAGGGATAGAAAGGGAGAGATTGGCGTATGGGGATAAATCAAACACTAAAACACACATATTTATATATGTATACATGTTTATATGTAGAGAGAGAGAAAAAGAGTTGCCACTGATTTTCCAGTTACAGGACTATGTATTCTGATGACAATTTTGTATTTCATAAATTTAACAACATGGCTATTTCAAATGAAATTTTGCAGAGAACACGCTAGAATTCCATTTGAAAAAAACACGTTGTTATGCCATATATGTGAGCCATGACCCATTAAATTAATGATTAAGTTAAAACACCATTCGTACCAATCTTGTTAGTATGCATAAAATCTCAAATATAATTAGTAAAATTTTATAATCAAACTTCATAACTCTTACAGTTGTCAAGTTTTTTATTTTTTTATTTTTATTGAGATTAAGTTGAAGAGCCCAAAAGCATTCGTACTTCTATATATGTATGTTTATATGTATATATATATATATTCTCGGGTCAAGTGCAAAAAACTATACTAATAGTACATATTGCAAAAAAATCCTTCAATTATGATATTTGTATAAATAGGTCCTATTTATAAAAATTGAACTATAATACCCTTAACAACACATTTTATTATATATATATAAATATAAAATATTTTGTGAAATGACTAAAAAGGGTTTGGCCCTTCTTCTTCATCATCTTATGGTTGCCGTCGCAGAGAGGGAATGGAAGATTGGAGAAGACCCATCATGTGTCGGCGACGTCCGCCATTGCCGTCACCGCCACCACCCAGTCCCATTCTTTCCGGTGAAGCTCTAAGTACGGAAACCAGTTCACTTCAACGTGTTCCCAAGCCATCAAATGGTAGTTGGGACACATACCAAAATAATAAACATATTAAAAAAAAAAAATCAAGTTACCACAAATCTTTTCATACCTTCTGGCATTTAAGATCCATATTGTGTTTATGGACACAAACATATTCGAAAAGAAAAATCAAATGTATTGGGTCGTGTGAATGAAATTCAGACACGGGTTCCAGCTTCCGTTATTATTTGATAAAAAACTGCCCTTATTCTAAGAGGATTAAACCTGAGAAGAAAAAGAAAACACACACACACATATATATATATATAATCAAGAAAACACTAATAAACTAGGAAAAAGAATATTCGAAAGATTGAGAAGAAGAAGAAGTGGCGTACTTTGATACAAAGATTGCCGGTGCAAATGATATGTACGGATTTGAACTTTGGTGGCAGATCAGGTGCCCTGAGTGGAATGCAAAGATCCCCAATTGCCAGCACTCACATTCTCCTCTACTCCAAGTTTTTTTATATAAATCACCCAATGTTAAAAAATTCATCTCAATTTGTACCAAAATTTACAATAAATAAATTAACACCCGAGTAACGGTGAAGCACACAAAAATTTCAAAACTCTGGTGACTGGTTTTGTTCGCCGGAAGTTGCAGAGGTGCAGCAACCCAGTTCGGTTCGGCGACAAGTCGGAGCGTCAACGAAACGACCGTCGTGCTTCATCATCAAACCAACAGGTTTCATCTTCGGTGTGGCCGATGGTGAACTGCTAATGATGAGGATGAACGATGGTGAAGCGGCGGTACAAATAGCAAGGTGGTTACAATGTGCCTGAACGGGCCGGCAAGAAGTTGGAATGTTCTCACCGGCGAGACTTTTGGCAACAAGGAAGGGGAACGGACGGCGGCGTCCAAGATGCATCGAGGCCGGTGAAGAACTTGGGTCCCCCACCGGCGATGAGAACGTGAGGGGTGATGGTGATGATAAATGGGTTTGGTTAGCGCCATTTTTGAAAGAGTAAATGGGTAAAATGGGTATTATACTCATTAAAAGGTTGTTTTTGCACAAATTAAAAAGAATAGGGATGTATTTTGTACACCTTTTTAAATAAGTAGTAAAAGTGTTATGAAATATATAATTCAAGATATTTCTTACACTTATCCACACATATATATATATATATATATGTATATATATATATATGGATTTCAATGTCCAGTTTTTTTTTATCCAAAATAAGTATTGCATGTCAAAACAATGCATAATGCAAAATAAAGCATGAAAATTGAGTTGTTTTTGCTCATTGACTAGTGCATTTCTCTAATTCCTCACACCCTCATTAGTAATCTCTCGCATAAACAAACGATAGCATGCACTAAATTGATGTATTGGAGTAAACTAATTGTACAAGTCACCATGAGCCTTAAGTTTGGGTTTGAGATGTGAGGTTGACCAAAGATTCAAACTACGTTGATCCAAGATCCAAACCACCATGTACAACCGAATTGTTGGATCCAAGATCCAAACCACCATGTACAACCGAATTGTTTTGGAAAAGGTTAAATTGGATGAGTGGTAGTCTCAAGTTTATGAAATCTCTGTCATTTCAGCTATAATTCAATTATGGTATTTTTGTATGCCCTGTTCTCTGTTACTTATGTTACATAGGTCCTAACCCTAATGGTATCATGATTTAACTTCTCCAAAAATATTGTAGGATTTATTTATCAAAAACTACCATACCAATCAAATAAATAAATAAATTGAATACTGGACTTCTTTTTTCATTAAATTAGAATTAATATGCAATATTATTATCATCTTGTAATATCTTATTTTTGGCATAGTAAAATTGAAGGGTAAAGTACAAAAAAATCTCTGAATTATTGGCCAAAATGTAATTAACCTGAAATACCAAAAATGCAACAATACATATTTTTGTTGCAAATAGCCTCGGCAATGCTCCGGTTGGATCTCACTGATAAAATATTATGTGCGGTCACGCGACATAAAAATTATAACTTAATGACTATAATGCCCTTATAAACATGAGAATACTATATTGCCCCTTATTGTAACCATTGCTAGGGGTGCACACGGTCCGGTTTGGACCGGATTGGGAATATTTTGGGACTAAACCATTTATAACGGTTCTAGTATTTTTGAAACCAAACTGAACCATAATAATATTCATGGATCCAAACCAAACCAAACCACGAAAAACCGGTTTGGTTTGGTTCGGGTCGGTTTCAGTTGATTTTCTTTTTATTTTATTTTAATTTAGAGGGGGGCAAAGTTTTTTTTTTTAAAAATATCAACTAACATTGATATAATACGCAAAAAAAAAAAAAAAGAAGGAAAATTGAGATATATTTGAAAGGAAAGGAAAGAAAATTGAGATATATTTGAAAAAGGAAATTTGACTTTTTTTAAAAAGAAATTTAAAGAATTTAAAGAACAAAAGAAAGAAAAGGGCACGTGAGAACTTTAATTGATTTAGGTTTAGGATATAACAGACAGACTCTCATGCAATCCAAAAGAACGGATTTTTCAGTATACTAAAAGTCAAATAGTCAATTAGCATTTTTTTAACTTTATTAGACCTAACAACCATAGTGAATATTTGTTACCTTAATATTCAATTTACTATAGTTAATATTTGTTCAATCTCTTCCATCTTCCTTGCCATCTCAACCAATTCTACCATATCCACACTATCACAGCCACCATCTTCACCACTGCGATCACAACACAACTACCATATTCCTTCTCCAACGGTTACTCTCTTTTTCTTTCTCTTTTTTTTTTTACACTTTGATTTATTTATTTTTATTTTTTTGCTCTCTTAATTTTTTTCCCTTGATGGCCTAACTGTTGCTCCTTATTTATTTATTTTATTTTATTGCTTTCTTAATTTTTTTCTTTGACCCATTATTCCACATTTCGTGAATAATAGAGTCTCAAACAGAAAGCATATATTGCTTAATCCTGGCATGGAAACAATAAAAGGTCTCCAAATTTAGATTTTCTAAGACAAAAATAAGAAAAATCTCCCAATTTTGATTCTGGCAATTTTCTCGTTTTCATTCCCATTTACATTTTTATGCATTACAATCTCCTTCAAATTT